GTACCACTGTCTAGGAGCTTGCTTCAGCCCGTATAGGCTCTTCTTGAGTTTGCACACCATCTTCTCTTTACCACTCACTGGGAAACCTGCTGGTTGGGCCATGTAAATGTCTTCTTCAAGGTCACCATGAAGAAAAGCAGTCTTCACATCCAGCTGCTCCAAATGCAAATTTTCAGCAGCAACGATACCAAGGATCAACCTGATAGTAGTCATCTTCACAACCGGAGAGAAGATTTCATTGTAATCAACCCCCTTCTTCTGTTGGAACCCCTTGACAACTAGCCTCGCCTTGTATCTTTTGCTCCCATCAGCTTCATCTTTGATTCTGAACACCCACTTGTTCTCCAAAGCTTTCTTTCCCGGTGGTAGCTTGACTAAGGACCAAGTTTGGTTCTTCTCAAGCGAATCTAACTCATCCTCCATGGCCTTCTTCCACTGTATGGAATCCTTCACGGTCAGCGCCTCTGAGTAAGATTCTGGTTCTCCATTCTCGGTCAGCAACAAATAATTTGCTGAAGGAGAATATCTGTTAGGAGGTCTTCTGATTCTGGTGGACTGTCTGACTTGAGGAGTAGCTGCCTCTGAATTTTCACCATCTTCATCACTCCCACTATCTTCAGACATTCCCGTATCTCCTGAGCTCCCACTGCTCCCTGAACCTCCTGTTGTCTCATCACAACCAACAGGTTGTGCTATGTCATCTTCAGTCATCCCGTCAAACACCACTTGTTGCTTGTTTTCTGGTTGCTTGGCTTTGCTAGTTTCTGCTGCAAGACCATCTTTATACAGGGCATTCTCGTTGAAAGTGACATCTCTACTTCTGATAACCTTCTTGCTGTGGTTGTCCCAGAACCTGTGGCCCATGTCATCCATCCCGTACCCAATAAAGATACACTTCTTTGCCTTTGCCTCGAGCTTGTCACTATCTGCATCTCTAACTTTGACATAAGAAATACAACCAAAAACTTTCAAGTGAGTAAGAGATACCTCTCGACCTTTCCATTCCTCTTCTGGAATTTTGAAACCTATGGGAGATGAGGGTCCTCTGTTGATCAAGTATGCTGCTGTGTTCACCGCATCGGCCCAGAACATCTTTGGAAGTCCTGCATGCAATCTCATGCTCCTGGCCCTCTCATTCAGTGTTCTGTTCATCCTCTCTGCAACACCATTTTGCTGTGGTGTTTCTGGAACCGTCTTCAGCATTCTGATCCCCTGTTCAGCACAATACTCTACAAACTCTGTGCTACTGTACTCACCCCCATTATCACTCTTTAAACACTTAATCTTAAGATTTGTTTCATTCTCAACAGCAGCTTTGAACTTCTTAAAAGTGTTAAAGACATCGGATTTATTCTTAAGAAAATAAACCCATACCTTCCGTGTAGAGTCATCAATGAATGTAACATAGTACCGGGAACCTCCAATCGAAGAGACCTTTGTCGGTCCGTAGACATCTGAATGAATCAACTCCAGCCGCTCAATCTTGGGTTGCTGCCCTGTCTTCACAAAGGTTACCCTCTTTTGTTTGCCTAGAACACATGGCTCACAAAAGCTCAACTTTGAATTCTTCAAATCTGGGATTTTTCCCTTTGAAGACAGCATCTTCATTCCGTTCTCACTTATGTGCCCAAGTCTTTGGTGCCACAAAGTAGAGACCCCTGTATCTTCAACTGCTGCGTTTGCCCCATCTGTGGACACTTCAACCATGTACAGTGTACCATGCTTCTGCCCACGAGCAATGACCAGCTTTCCCTTTGTCACCTTCCATTGCTTGTTGCCAAAACTAACGTTATGGCCTTCCTCATCAAGCTGTCCAACTGAGATCAACATCTTCTTCAGGTCTGGAATATACCTCACATCTTTCAGTCTCCAGGTCGTACCCAAAGAGGTACTGAGATCAACATCTCCAATACCCGTGATCTCCAGGGATTTGTCATCCGCCAAACGAACTCTTCCGCTGTAGGACCTGAAATTTTTCATCAAATCCCTGCAATGACAAGCATGAAACGACGCACCTGAATCCATGATCCAGGACTCAACTGAATTCTCAACGCTGCAAATTAGAACATCTTCATAATCCTCTGCCACGTTCACCTCCTTCTTGCCTTTGTCTGCAGGGGGTTTTGGGCACTGATTTCTGAAGTGTCCATTCTCTTTGCAATTCCAACAATTGATGTCCTTCCGGTTCTTGGATTGCCCTCTCTTTCTCGACTTCGATCTTCCTTTCTTGTTACCTCCTCTAGTGGATTTTCTGCCCCTATCTTCAGTACTCAATAAACTATTGGAGCTATCCCCCGAACTCCTCCTCCGGATATCCTCACCAAGGATTAAGTCACGAATACCTTCAAAGGTAAGCTTAGTGGTTCCAGATGAACTACTAACCGCTGTGACTGTACCGGACCAACTATCGGGCAAAGATGATAACAAAAGTAATGCTTGGACTTCATCATCGAATTTAATCTCAACCGAGCCTAACCTGGATATGATTGAATTAAACTCGTTGATGTGATCTGTCACGGATGCACCTTCCTTCATTCTTGTATTCACCAACTGTCTAATCAAGAAAACCTTGTTTGATGCTGAGGGTTTCTCATACATGTTGGATAACGCCTTGAGCAGTCCGAACGTTGTCTTCTCGTTGACGATGTTGTAGGCAACGTTCTTCGCCAACGACAACCTCACCACACCAAGAGCCTGTCGATCCAACAAATTCCATTCCGCCTCCGTCATCGTTTCTGGTTTGTTCTCAGACAACGGTTGATGAAGCTTCTTCTGGTAGAGATAATCCTCGATCTGCATCTTCCAGAAAGCGAAATCTTGACCATCAAATTTATCGATCTTAACCTTCCCTTCGTCAGCCATAGCTCTGATACCAATTGTTACGATTAGGCAAAGATAAACGATAAATTAAGAGCAAGAACACAAGAATTAACGTGGTTCACGCAATCGGGGTGATTACGCTAGTCCACGGCGAACGAGAGAGAGTATGTATTATTATCAGCGTCCCAAGAGGTTTACAAGTACATAAGAGTCGTTTAAATAGGTTTAGGAAAACCTAAACTGAGATTAGAGCCGCAGGCCCAAAATTAAGCCTGTTTTTAAAATTCCCGTCGCCTGACCCGGTCGGGTCTCTTATTTGACCCGGTCGGGTCTCCTTCACAGAACACAAACCCGGTGGAAACCAGGTCGGGTTTCCAAAACAGAAGGCTTCTGCCTTGCTGACCCGGTCGGGTCCCTTCCCTGACCCGGTCGGGTCTCACATCCAGTGAGATCCCCCGGTCTCTGCTTCAACATACCCGGTCGGGTGGCTGACCATACCCGGTCGGGTATCTGCTCTGAACCTAAGAACAAGACTCCATCTTCAACAAAAATTTGGTTTGGCTTGTTACATGTTAAAGCTGTTGATGGCCCCTGGCTTTGATCCTAGTCATATTTTCATCAGCAAATAGAACAATCTAATTATAAAATTAAATAGAGGAGACCATTTTGATTGACACGGTATTTAATACCACCTAATACTGCTATACTTTTGACTCGAACTGGTCAATGATAGCTTTATCAGTAATTACAACAACCTAATTAGAAAATAAAATAGAGGAGACGCGTTTTGATTTATGGTGGACAAATCCAAATGGGATCATAATCTTAATATGAAAATTAGTAAGAGTTTGTTTGGTAGTTCAAGAATTAGGCTGATTCTATTAAAAGAGCGAAACTCTATTTGAAGCCCGCCTCTTCATAATTTGCCGAGTAATAAGAAAAGATTATATAAAAACATACGTAGTTTTTATTAATAAAATGAAGAAAAATTATATGATAAACCAATTAATATAAACTTTTTTGGTGAATTCAATGCTGAAAATGGATTTATCTGGATTATTACTTGATGCATCAAAAGATTACCATTTGATGCAAAAGTTAATTTATAAAATCATCAAAGCTGAAAATGGAGGTTACTTACTTGATCTACTTAACAAAAATATGTACTATATTCGTCCCTAAAAGATCTTCCCATTGCAGTTTACGATATTTGACTATCGATAAAGTTAAATGATCCATGTTGAAAGACATTATTTTTAATAAATAAAATTTGCATTTCGGAAACTACATTAAAATCTTTACAAAGTCTGTAAAAATTAATTCAAAATTGACAACGAGTTCTTATAAAATATAAGAATAAGAGTAATTTAAGTTGATATACATTCCAATAAGAAATTTAGAACGATTTAGAATATCCATTCGGATATTATGTGTACGGGGAGAAGATATGTAAACAACTAGACACGTGGTAGTGAAAATGGATATGGCGATACATTGTTTCTCAAGCTCTGTCGATTTTTTAAGCATTATTTCATCACAATCACTACAATAAAGTGTGGAATAGTAGAATACCTTAAAAAATTAAGTATCTATCGGCTGTCTTGAGAATATGAGACTAGCTACAATTTTAATGAATATTACTTTTCGTTCCTTAAAATATTGTCAATTTTCTTTTATTTGATCGTCTCATTAGATTTGTCATTTCGCATTTTAAGCAAAGAATTTATGGTTTTAATTAATTTATTTTCCTCTGTACAAAATTTAAATACACAATGTTCACTTTATTAATTCTCGTGCCAATGAAATTTGATCAAATTTAAAGAAACGAAAAGAAGTATTCTCTCCGTCCCACGAACAATGAGAAGAGAGGCAGTGACAAAAAGTGATTTATGTGGTTGATATTGAATTAATAAATTAAGAATAAAGTAAGAATGATTTAGAGTCACACAAATTTTTAACAAATTCGATATGAGACAATATTAATGGAACAGATCGAAAAGTTTAAATGAGACAATCTTAATGGAACGGGGTAATAAATAAAACAAAAATAAAATATAAAAAGGAAGGGATATACATCTGCGATAGTTCTCCACTTTTCTAATTTTTTTTAATAATAATAATAGTAATGGTCTCCGTTATCCTTTTCTACTCGATATTTATAGCTCTATATAAATAGCATCATAGCCCCAGGCCCCCAAGCACTGCTTCGAAAGCGTATTTTCATGGCAGCTATTTCTCAGTATTATCCGCCTTTTTTTGCCTTTCATTTTCGTCTTTTCCATCCAAAACTGGCCTGAAACGCCCGCACATGCTTCACAGATAGATAGATAGAACACACAACCGAAGCAGATCAATCCATCAATCTGTACAATTTATATGTGTAAATCACACCCTTTCACATCTTCAATCTCAAGGCCAAGTGTTTTTCTGAATCACTTCGCTTCTATTTTCTGCTTTATTTGCTGTTGAAGTTTTTCTGGGCGAGAATGTTGTCGAGGTCGTGTTTCAATCTGTTGAATCTCGAAGACTACAGTGTTGTTGATCGAGCTAGAATACCGAGCGTCGTGAGTGTTCCGGGAATAATCTCGGACTTTTCCGGATCGTCAGATGGGCAGGAAGGAAGGAGGATTGAGAACAGCAATGGCGGTGAAGATCGGGTGAAGAAGGAGAAGAGGAGGGTGATTATTGTGGCGAACTATCTGCCTTTGAAGGGGCACCGAGATGGTAAGACTCAAAATTGGGTGTTTGAGTGGGATAAGTATGCTTTAGACGCTTTGATTTTGCAGATGAAAGACGGTCTGGATCCAGATGTGGAAGTCATCTACGTCGGGAGCCTCAGGACGGCGGAGGTGGAGGAGATGGAGCCACGTCAGCAAGAGGAAGTGGCCCAAATGCTTCTCGACACGTTCAACTGTATGCCCACTTTCTTGCCTGTGGATTTAAGGGATAAGTACTACCATGGCTTTTGCAAACACTATCTCTGGCCTTTATTTCATTACCTCTTACCTTTGACACCAAGTCATGGTATGAGGTTCAATAGGGACTTATGGCAGGCCTATGTATCAGCAAACAAGATTTTTGCTGAGAAGGTCGTGGAGGTCATCAACCCACGCGAGGATTATGTCTGGGTTCAAGATTATCACCTCATGGTCATGCCCACTATTTTGAGAAAAATGTATCCTAGGGTAAAACTAGGTTTCTTCTTGCATAACACCTTCCCTTCCTCTGAGATTTACAGAACATTGCCTGTGAGGGATGAGATCTTGAAAGGCCTTTTGAACTGCGATCTTGTCGGGTTCCAAACGTTTGACTATGCCCGGCATTTCTTGAGTTGTTGTAGTAGGATGCTAGGTTTGGATTACCAGTCAAAGCGGGGATACATCGGGATTGACTATTATGGTAGAACTGTGAATATTAAGATCCTCCCTGTGGGCATTCATACAGCTCAGCTTCAATATGTTATGTCTCTAGAGGAAACCGGAAGGAAGGCTAAGGAATTAAAGGATAAGTATGAGGGGAAAATCGTTATGTTGGGCATTGATGATATGGATGTATTTAAAGGCATCAGTTTGAAGTTTTTGGCAATGGGGGAACTTCTTGACATTAAGCCGGACATAAGAGGGAAAGTGGTCTTGATTCAGATCATGAACCCTCCAAGGAGCATTGGGAATGATATCCAAGAGGTCCAGAATGAGATAGAAGGAATCGCGATGGATGTTAATAGAAGGTATGGTACGCCAGGGTACCAGCCCATTGTTTGTATCAATGGTCCGGTTTCTACCCAAGAAAAGATTGCCCATTACGCAATATCAGAGTGTGTTGTAGTTAACGCAGTTAGGGACGGTCTGAACTTAGTGCCTTATGAATACACTGTTTCCAGGCAGGGCTGCCCGGATTTGGATAAGGCCTTGTGTGGGGATGATGGGCTTATGATTTCAAGAAAAAGTGTCATCATTGCTTCTGAGTTCATCGGATGCTCACCTTCTCTGAGTGGGGCAATCAGGATAAACCCATGGAACATCGAGAGTGTAGCTGAAGCAATGTATTCGGCTGTTCAGATGCCCGATGCAGAGAAAGAAGTGCGCCATGAGAAGCATTACAAGTACGTTTCATCCCATGATGTCGCGTATTGGGCTAAGAGTTTTGATCAGGACCTTCAGAGAGCTTGTGCGGATCATTTCCTGAAGAGGTGCTGGGGGATAGGGTTGGGTCTCGGATACCGGGTTGTTTCCTTGGCCCCAAATTTCCGGAGACTTACGGTGGAACATATTTGCTCTACTTACCACACTGCGACGCACAGGCTTATCCTTCTGGACTATGATGGTACTGTGATGCCTCAGGACAAAGTGGACAAAACTCCAGAAGAAGAAGTGATTTCATTATTGAATAATTTGTGTAGTGACCCCAAGAACATTGTGTTTATTGTGAGTGGCCGAGGAAGACATTCATTGGAGAAGTGGTTCTCCCCTTGCCCAAAACTTGGTCTCTCGGCAGAACACGGCTACTTTACTAGGTAACAACAACCAGTGACTCCGTTTTTTAAGCTTTGTATTGATTTGTTTGGCCTTTATTTGTTCGGTTTTGCTAAAATATTACTCCGTACGGACTATTAACTTCAAAAAGAAAACTAAAGTTTCTGGACAAAAATGTTAGATTTTATTTATATTACCTTCTGGTAACTGCGCTAGTTATTGCCTTGATTGTGGGTAACTGCATTGGTAACACCCTAACAATCATGTCCTAAAGTTTAAAAGCTAACAATTTTCTTCTTCTAAAAGTAGTGCTTATTTAAGGAATTTTTCCTCGTTTAATAACTGACATTTGTTCCTGATTATGTGTTTAATATAGATGGACTAAAGACTCCCAGTGGGAATCTCGGGCACCGGTAGCACCTGATCTGAGCTGGAAAAGTGTGGTGTTGCCCGTGATGGAACATTACACCGAGGCCACAGACGGTTCGTGTATAGAGCAGAAGGAAACTGCAATAGTGTGGCATCATCAGGAAGCTGACCCGGACTTCGGAACATGGCAATCACAAGAACTCCTGGACCATTTGGAAAATGTTCTTGCTAATGAGCCTGTGGTGGTTAAGAGAGGCCAGCAAATAGTTGAGGTTAAACCTCAGGTATGATCAATGTTGAACTAATATTCCCGTATCTTGAAGCCCTCAACACTGATTTGTGGGGTAATCGGATTTCTCAGCCTGAGAGAAATGAGAATATGCATAAAATTTCAAGAGATGTTGAAAAACAATGAAGCATTTCGAGAAATATTATTAATATGATGATGTTATTTGAAATAAACTTAACAAAATGTATTTTATTTTCCTAAAAAGTTCTTGTGGTGCCATCTAAAATATCCACAGCTATTTATAACTGCATTCTTGGGTATGTATGATTGCCCATTAATTCCCATCATCACTCAATAGTCAATATATGTAATGTTTTCTTTTCCAATGGTGGATTTGTGGTGAATTGCAGGATATAAGCAAAGGGTTAGTTGTTAAGGATATCATGGCTACACTGAAAAGCAAGGGGAAGACACCCGATTTTGTGTTATGCATTGGTGATGACAGATCAGATGAAGATATGTTTGAGAGTATTGCATGTTCTGTAGCTGACCATTCATTGCCTGAGATGGCGAAGGTGTTTGCTTGCACCGTTGGCCAGAAGCCAAGCATGGCTAAATATTACCTTGACGACACCGTCGATGTCCTCAAAATGCTTCATGGACTCGCTGCAGTGGGAACACCTCACAAGTATCCCAATTGCGCAATAGCTCTATGCTTCCAAGGGCAATACTGAAACTGCAAAGCTAAAAACTAATCAATAGCTAAAAAATACAACATTGTACATGAAGAAATGAATGCTGAGTTGACAAATCTATTATATTTAATCCGAGTTTAGTCCAACCTCATCTTACAACTTAGTGGAGTTGCTAATTATCTTCTTTAGCCTACCCCCCTGTGCATCGTTAGAGGCTCTTGGTATAGGTTTAAGAGACTAGTGTTACAGTTCATTTTTGGTTAATCTTTATACATGCGCCTTTCATTCTCATGTCCATTTGTACTGCCTTTTACGTGTTGTTCCATCAGTGTTCCTAAAATACAGTTTCAGGTTGATCATGAATTTTAGGGAATTGTAATAAGGTTTTGTTGCCCTGGAAAGTTTTTAATCTTACCGCACTAGGACTACACATTCTTGCTCGTTTTAACCATATTATAAGACTCACCCACTACAGAGACAAAAAAGACTGACGTAAACCCAAAGTTGATCACTACCTACACTTGTGATTAAGCATGGACTCGGTTCGGGCCGGGCCCGGTTCGGGCCTTGAACCGGCCGGGCCTCGGTTCACGGTTTGGGAGGCCCGGAACCGGCCCGGGTAACCCCGGGTCCGGTTCGGGCCGGGTGGCCCGCCCGGTTCACGGGCCGGGCCCGGTTCGGGCCGGTCCTTTTCATTTTTTTTTTTATATTCTATACTATATAATTATAATAATTGTTATGAAAAACAAAATTCAAGTGCATTTATTTGAAATAGGAAGTACATTTGAGAATTGAGGAAAAAATAACAATATGAAATACATTTTCGAATAAATATCAATTGGGATTTCCGCCACCGTTGGTTGTTGTTTTACCTTTGTCACATGACTTCATATGTTTCATTGGCATCCCGACTCCGTGTGAACGCCCCAAGCAACACTCTTTCTTGCACCACTTGCAAGTTGCCCACCACAGTCCGGTCTTCGGATCCTTCCACTTGTCAAAGTTGTTTTGCATAACAGAAGAATTACTTTCCATCTTTAAAATGGTAGATGTATAAGTAGAAATGTAGGATAATAAGAGAAGATGAAGATGGAGAAGAGTTGGAGAAGAGGTGTAGAAAATGGTAGAAAATAGATGTATTTATAGATTTTTTTGAACCCCACCCCCACCCCACCACCCCCCGCGACCCCCCCACCCCCCACCCTAAGCCCCAACGGCTATATAGCCGTTTGGGAGCAATCTCCCACTTCAAAATGTTTTAATTTTCTTTTTTTGAAAATTATACATATTGTGTATAATTTACTTAGAAAAGTGATTTGATTTAGAAAAGTGTAAGGAAAGTGATATGATTTAGAAAATTATACATATTGTGTAAGGAAAATGTTTTTAATTTTTTAATTAAGTAAAACTATTTTTACTTAGAAAAGTGATTTGATTTATAATTTACAAATGTTACAAAATAGGTGTATAAGTTGTAACTTGTAAGTTTGTAACAAATTAATTAATTTACATATTAATATTACATATTTTAATTTAAAAACAGCCTTTAGATTTTACAAAAATAATTTCAAGTTGTAAGTTATAAGTTTGTAAAATTGTAACCAATTAATTAATTTGAGAAGTGCTACATATGAAGTACAAGTTTACAAATGAATTTTATTGAATTGAATTATTGAATTGATGTACACAATAATATAAAATAATTCAAGTATATTTATTTCAAATAAGAAGTACAATTGAGAATTAGGATGCATTTAAAATATGTAATACATTTTGAAATAAAAAATCAATCGGAATCTCCGCCTTCGGTGGTTGTTTCCTCCATAAAGTGGCGGGTGGGAGCGATGGTCATTTCTTGAGTTCTTCGTTTGGCCTTCAACCAATCATGGAAGCAAACTAGCGTCTCAAGAGAGCTCGGGCTCAACCTCGTTCTATAATCAGTTAGGACATTGCCGGCCGCACTAAATTCTTGTTCCACGGCAACTGTTGATATCGGCATTGCTAGCACTTGCTTAGCCAGTTTTGATAAAACCGGGAACGTTCTTTCATTGTCCTTCCACCACTTAAGAACGTCAAAATCATCCCCAACTTCATAATCAACATTCAATGTTAGATAGATAGAAAGCTCGTTAACTGAGCTTTGTTCAGTAGCGGGAGTTGCTCTACTTTTTTTCATAAGAGAACCAAATGCAGATTTTAAAAGTGATTTTCCTTTAGATGAAGAAGATGTTCGCGGCATGGGAGGGGGTGCATTACCATATTGTGCATAAAATTCATTATACAATTGATGAAATAAATTACTAACCTCGTTGTATTCTTGTTTAGGGTCGATGGGATTATCATCGAACTCTTGAGTTGGAAAAAACAATTATAATAGTAATCTATACAACTTGGCAACGCGGCAAGTCTATAACGAGGATCAAGAACAAATCCAATACCATATATATGCGGAACATGTGAATAATATTTTAAAAATTTTTGTTTCATGAAATCACAAAAATAACTAACGTAAGCGGCATCGGAAAATTCTAAAAATGCGCCGGCGAGATTAACAGCTTCAACAAAAAATTCGTTTGCGGTAGGTTTATAAACATGACTAAAAGTTTGAGTTGCGTTATTAAAATATACCAAAACATTAACAATTTTTTCACAAGTGTCGATGTCAGCCGGGTTTATAATATAGTTACAAGTTTGTCTTAAAAAAGCAGGAAAATGTTCTTTATATCTAATAAGTACTTGAATTAAGTTATAAGTACTATTCCAACGAATAGACAAATCTTTAGGAAAAGCACAATAATTGACACGTCTTTCCTTCAAATATTGTCGCCATTGCATTTTTAGTGGAGTGTTAGCCCAAATCAATTTAATTCCCCCCTTCACTACCTCCAAAGCATTTCCTAATGCCGCTAATCCATCTTGTACACACAAATTTAGAATATGACATGCACAACGTTGATGAAAAAACCTACCCATCAATGTAGAAGCACCACACAATTCACGCAATCTAGGTATAGCAGCAGTATTATTACTAGCATTATCAAAACCTACAGCAAACACCTTATCAAGCAAATTATACTCAATTAAAATACGCTCAATGAGAATATAAATATTATCAGCAGTATGACGATCATTGAATTCACGAAATGCAAGGACACGTTTATGCATATTCCAATCATCATCAATATAATGTGCAGTAAGACCCAAATAATATAAATGATGATAAGTATCCTCCCATATATCGCTACAAATACTAACACGTCCATTAAAGTTTGCGAAAAATGTTTGTAAATTTTCTTTTTCGAAGTTATATTGCCTTATAACTTCTTTTTTAATCGTTTTGCGACTATAATTTCTAAATTGAGGATTTAAAGTGCCTTGAGCATAATCTCTTAAAGCAAGACTTTCGGAAAAAATATAGGGTAAATTTTCTTCAACAATTAAATGAGACATACCAGTTAAATGTTTTTGATCATCATAGGAGAAATTACCAAAGGGTTGAGAATTTGCAAACCTCGATATTTGTGTTTGCTTCCCCTTGCCCTTGTCTATTTTCGCATACTCCACAAGATGGGCGGATTTAAGATGCCTTGTGAGACTCCCGTATCCGCCAGAAGTTCCCAAGCTATACTCTTTGCCGCAATGATTGCAACTTGCGTACCATTTTTCGGTATTTTTGTCTTTCCTTTTTGTAAAATTGTTTTCAATAATAGGAGATTTAGATTTCTTACCAGTTTGGGTTGAACCGCCCTCGTCCTCCAAGTCTTGCTCATCATCCGGGGTGCCGTGAGTCCCGTCGCCCCCCGCGTCCTCCTCCGCATCGTCATCCTCGAGCTCCTCTTCATCAATGGTTGTCGGGATGGGTTGTTCTTGTGCAAAGCGTGGATCATTTTGGGACAATAGGTTTTGTAGATGCTCGTCGGACATCATCATATCATCTCTCCGTTGGTAATCCGTTTCAAAATCATCTCGACTTTGAAAAGAAGACTCGGCCCGCGCTTTACCTTTGCCTTTGCGTGAATTAGGACGAGTCGACGCAATCTCCCTCTTGCGGTTGCGTTGGAGATTACCCACATCTACAGAATGTCTACCACGTTCCATCTTTAAAATTGAACAAATATTAAATGATATCAAATATTTTATATGAGTACAATAGTAATAATAAAATGTGACTAAGAAAACTATTGCGAATTCGAACTAAAATATGAGTATACAAATCGAACTACTTCTAATTAATACTTTAATGAGAAATGTATCAATTAACTAAATATTAACTAGTTTGACTAATATAAATATGACAAATGTAAAAATTAACTAGTTTTTTTTTACTTTAATGAGCAATGTACAAATTAACTAATATTAATATGAGAAATGTAACAATTAGGTAGTTTAACTAATATTAATATGACAATTTTAACAATTAACTACTTTAGGTAGTTTTTAAAATGACAAATGTAAAAATTTACTAGTTATTTTTACCTTAATGAGAAATGTTACATTTAAGTAGCAATTAGTAGCAAATATTACTTTAATTCACGCAAATGTAAAAATGTAAAAATTCACGCAAACTTAACTAGTTTTTTTTTTACTTTAATGAGCAATGTATGAAATAACTAATTTTAATATGACAAATGAAACAATTAAGTACTTTAACTAATTGAAATATGACAAATGTAAAAATATACTACTTTAACTATTTAATTTTTGAAAGAGAAATGTAGAGAATTGTAACAATTAACTAATTTAATAGATAAATTAGAAGTCTAACAATTAACTACTATTATAAGTAATATATAATATAATGTTTATAGTATATAATATATAAGTATATTACTATAAGATGAGTAATACACTTATACTTAATACTTTAATATATATATATATAAGTATATATTAACTAAATGTAATATGTAAATATAAGTAAATAACAATAGTATGTATGAAAACTAAATATCAAATAAATATGAATGTGTATAAGTATATATAGTATATATAATGTGTAAATATATTATAATTTATAAGTAATATATAATATAATGTTTATAGTATATAATATATAAGTATATTACTATAAGATGAGTAATACACTTATACTTAATACTTTAATATATATATATATATATAAGTATATATTAACTAAATGTAAAATGTAAATATAAGTAAATAACAATAGTATGGATAATAACTAAATATCAAGTGAATATGAATGTGTATAGTATATATACTTATATAGTATATATACTTATATAGTATATATAATGTGTAAAGAATTATAATATGAATGTGTATAAGTATATATTTTTATATAGATAATTAATATATAAGTAGAATAATAATTATATATATGTAGAAAGAATTTGGAGAAGATGAAGAATGAAGATGATTGAATATGAGAGATTTAGAGTAGAGAATTAGAGAGTAGGAAGAGTTGTAGA